GGAGATCCTCGAAGTATTCCTTCCACCGTCCGACAATGTCCCCAGTTGAGGTCAACAGCTGCCCTCCTCCACTGTAAACAGTTTCGGCAGGGCACTGCTTCCCCCTCCTGAGGCGCCGGACGGTTTGCCAGAATCTCTTCGAGGCTGACCGATAGTCCTTCTCCATGGCCTCACCGAACTCTTCCCAGAAATGCATCAAGCCAAAACAATAAAAACACATTGGGGTAAAAACACACACTACACAGACCATTTATGTAATGGGGAGCTTTTACAGATGAAATAATAGAACATGGCTCTGTATTTGGTACTATATCAGTACGAGTGGCTCGATAAATGCCCACAGAAATGTCATGTTGTATCTTTGCTGCCTCATCAGACAAGGAAAAGAAAGGATGGAGAGTCCCAGTGCAATGGCATAGGCAGCCCCAAACGCCAGCGGGAGAGCGAGCTTTGCCTCACTGAAGAAGACGGACGAGATGGAGGGCCAGCCCTTGCACCCGTTTGTCTGGAGCAAATTGGAGAAGACGGAGATTCGGAGAACCTGGACCTTAGCATTTTACAATTCACTGTGGGAGGAGATGATGTAGCAGAAGTTGTGGTCCCAGCTATCAGCCAGAATGTGGAGACTGGAGACTTTATTAGTTCCTCCAGACAAAGTCATTCATCTGGCCAGGACAACGCCTTGAGTAAGAGCCCCCCTGAACCAAGTGAGTACACCAATCGAGTTTACCAACAAGTTTGAGCTGCTCCTGTCAGTTAACCACAGCACATGTTGTTACCGTGCGTTTGATGTGTGCCAGCTTGCGCTGTGAACAATTCCTCTTATAACTTGTCATTGAAATGTTTTCCCGCGCATGGATCCAAGTCACAGAAACATTTGGAAAACGGCTGTGCAAAGTACAAATCTCACCTTTATGTGACTTGTTTTAGTGGGTTTTGTTATCCTTTTCTCCTCGTTCCACAGTTTGTTAAATAGATCAGACCTTATTGCACATCCATGCATCAGACAGTGTCATCGCTGTAATGGGTATCCCCACCCCACTGACCACAAGGGACGGTTTTGAGCATATTGCTGCTTGTTACACCAAAATGAGGAGAATAAAATGATAAACTAACGGGGGTCGCAGCTAGTGTCTATTGTAATGCACACTGGCTGACAAAAAATAAAATATAAAAATAAAAACAAAGGCTTTACTAGAAAAGTCTGTCAGTTGACAGGTGTTGTGGCTAATGACTCGACTGTTGGGGGCAGCCCTAGAACTGTTCCCGGTCTGCATCGCATTGAAGGCTAGTCTGTTGTTAGTCTAGAAAACATAATGGGTGATAGCTGTGATAACTTCTGTGTTTCCTCTTTTCAGACTACTTGTGTTCTTTAGGTTTACAGGTGCTCTTGCTTTCCTTCAAAGCCTCCATGTGGTGTTAAATAAGGGCATGAATGCCCTTGCGACTGTTTGCCTTTGGGCCTGGTTTCTGTGTAAAAACTACATTGATACGTTTTGTCATTCACGTGTTTCAGTTGTGCTGTCCAGTGATGATGAGGGGAGCAGTGACGTACCTCAGCACCACAGCCCAGCAGTCCATACACTGGTCACTGTGGAAGATGGAATAATACACAGACAGCCCTTCCAGGAAGCTGTGGCCAAATACCCAGAGGCTCCTGATGTACAGGACATGCAGGTTGGCAAAACGTGACCGTCATATTTGATCAGTCCCTCTTCAATACAACAAACACGTTTCATAAAAGAATCTCAAATCTGTTTCAAAGCCTCATACAGGGTTTGATTTTTATTTTTTCAGTTATAATGCTAAAGAATATTGTTTATTCAAGGCATTACAGATTTTACATCACATACACAAAACGATCTTGCACAGGTTTCTAAACTGAGCTGAGCTAATGCCCAGATTAACATGGCACCACAAAGGGTGTTTTATAGACATCATGCAGAAGTTTTACTTCACCCTAGGGGGCCTGCTTATCACCCACTAATCGAATGAAACAAATGAGCACACAAATGAGCCTGCATGACAGCCATATACTCACAGAGATTTGTGCAGACATGAGTCCTGTAAGAGAAGGAGCGTAATTTATAATAATAGGAAAAATTTGGTTATTTTAAACATAGAGATTCATTTTCTAGTTTTCACTGCTATGTTTCAAAGATGAACCAAAAAAGATTAATTCCATGATGGTGGTGCCTTCAAATTTCAGCCCCAGCTCACATGTTATTTTACAGTAGAACTGTATATGAAAATCCCTGTTTTTATAGACGGAACAGCTCAGAAGCCTCTGACTGCAGAAGCTTGAACTTAGCGGAGATTCATACAAGCATCATTATAGTTCAGCTAACAGAACAGCCAGAATTTAGTCAGAGTTGGTAAGTCAGGCGTTTTAGCCTCCTCCTAGATGTTGTGTGAATAACTGCATTGCAGATGACATATGTGATATTTTCATTATTCGTGTGTGAAAAGTTGACCACACAGGGCCAGAGAAAGAAGAGTGTGTTGGACGCCACTGTCACATTGGGTTACATTTATGAATGTCTTTTTTTTTTTTGACTGAAATAGGGAAAAATAAGAAAAAGCCTACATCTGCTCTGTGAAACATGCAAAGCCATACTGCCAACTCGTACTAGTAACAGTCCCGTGTGATGCTGTATTACTTATCAGATGATATTTTCATTGTTAAGGTGAGTGGTTTTGTATTATGTCGTTCAGATGTGCATGTTCAGCCATATCTGCAGTAACGGTGGCAACAGAGCTTTTACCTTGTTCATGTAGAAAACATTGTTCTTACTACAAACCATCACTGTATCTTGATATAGTGATGGTTTGGTCATTATGAGATATTCTTTGGTATCCATTTACTTTTCTTGTGCGAAGCAGAGTTCATTGCAGTGTGCGACACTGTCATCTGGGTACTGCCACTTGATGGCGCCACAGGAATTTTCAACCTGCACACACAATGGATTTAAAATATTGAAATTTGAACCTTATATTACTGTTGTGTTCAAGGTTTCAGCCATATTGCATGACCATACTGCTAGTAAACTATATGTCTGTGTTGCAGGAGCTGCATGTAGTTTTAGCTGATTTTGCTTATTCTGCGGCATCAACCCCCAGTGACGACTACTGCATGCTCGTAGCCTTCTCCGCCCTGCACTGTGGAGTTTACCAAGGGAAAGCAAATGGTGACATCAGGGTAATCTACACAAGCCACAGAGACATGCATTGTTCTGGTGGTGAGGATTATTTGCATATTTCAGGACATTACGTGTAACAGATTCCTCTTCCTCCTGTTACAGGTTGGAGACCACAAAATCAGCATCCCACTGAAAGGTAATGCTAAGAATAGTTTTAAACTTGCTTTTAGCATGTGTTAAATACACTGAAGTATAATCAGTGTTTGTATAGAAGCTCGGGCCTCCCTCTGGCCTCTGATGCTATAGGAACCCATCTCATATTGTGTTGCTTGTGTGCTTAGGCATGTGTGTGTGTGTTTTATTAGACCCTCAAGGAAAATGTATTTTAACCTCTGAGGTTGTGAAATCTACCCTTCAGGAAAAGATTAGGTTAGATTTGATCTTGGACATGTGTTTAAAAGGCTGCATATCAGTTTTGTAAAACATTTTGGACAAGCCAAGCAACATACTCCTGTAGATATATTTTTCTAAAACGGCAAGGACAGGCTTGCTTCTAATAAAAACAAAAACCCTGACTAAATAATCCTGAATAAAAGAACACATGTTTATTTTCACTTTTCACCAGAATTTACTGGATGCAGTCAGTCAAGGTCTGCACGTTAAAATTTATGTTCGTATTTTTAGCCACGTTAGCAACATGGCGCTACAAATAGCAATGTCTGTCTTTCACTTGGTCTGTTCTTCCACAACTTTACTGAGGGGTAAGAATAAAGAAATAATGCTGCTCATTGTGTCACACCAACACATCGAGCTCATAACCTAATTTTCTCTTGTTGCCAGATGTTAGTGAACAGGTGGAGATGATATTGACCTTTGAGCGCAAAGAGCTGAGGAGGTACAGTGTCTGGGAGCAGGAGGAAATGGAGGCTCAGGAACTTCAATTAAAGGGTGACGAGGATCCTTCCCCTGTTGCCGTGCTTGTGTTTTTTGTGTCAGAAACTGCTGCTGCTGCTATACAGCAGGACCTCTGCAAGCTGCGTGTCAAACAAGAGGAAACCCTGAACACTGGTAAGATCACTGCAAGGTTCAGTGTAAATACATGTTCAGGGCTTGGAGCTGGTACTCCACACTCATATTTGTAAAATGTTTTTAGGAGACGTGACATTTGAGGTGCTTTCACTTTAAATCTCATTGTTTGTGCTGCCGGATAAGCAGAGGAAAATGGATGGATGGATGGATGGATGTTTGTACTGTGTTTATGTGAAAGTACTATGTTTCTGAAGGGCAGAGCCAAGACAGAAATCGTATTGTATATTCTGATCACAACACAGTCAAAGCAGACAAGTGTTTTTAAAGCTTGTGGACTAGATTTCCACTAAACTGTTTGCAACTGCCTTTAGTATTGTTTGATGTGACACATTATTCTCTGTGTCAGTCTGCCTGGTATGATTGATCATTTTCTAAATTTAATAGGCAAGGCGAGCCCCTTCATCCTGCTGAGTCTGAAAGATCGTCTGCAGGGAATGGAGGGGGCGTTGTTGCGCTCCCTCCTGGACATTGAATGTCTCAACAGTCTGACACATGATCAGTCACAAATTGTAGACAAAGTTAGTGACTGGGAAGAAACTCCCAGTCTTACTTTGGATACCACCGTAGAGCTGATTAGAAGAACCGGAATGGACTCTCACCTGCTGTCTCTGCTGGGCCTGCAAACCGCCGAACCTGGACTTAACACAAACCAGGACAGTCCACTCTCTGACACAAACACCTTAACATGCACCCAGCTGGAGGTTGAGCCATATATAGAGACTGTAGTAGAGCTGGAGACATTACCTGAGCAAGACAGGGGGACACAGCTGGATTCAGAGGAGGAGCAGAAACAGCAAGAGCTCAACCATCCCTCTGAGGTCTGTATTTTCCAGATCCCTCAAAATGAAGTTGTCCACATCATCACCATCAGGGGATGCATATGTTGACTGGTTGGGACTGTTTAATCAGAAGGATTTATCTTTCTTTGAATAATTTAATGCCCAAAACAAATATGCTAATCCACACATATAAAGGCAATAATTAGAGGAGAGTCTGAAAAAATAAGCATAACAGTTCATTGCAGAAATCTGTTTTTCCCTTTCCTTTCCTCCTGGTAAACCTCTTGTCGCCCTCAGACTTATTTTGTCCTCTTGCTGGGGTCCTGACTCCCTGGCTGGGAACCTCTGGTCTGTGTGATCTGCCAGTGGTCAGTGATTATGCTGTATATTTTACTCTCATCATATAAATGTCCTCCCACAGAAGAGAAAGGAGGAACCCACCCCTATATACACACTGTGCCACCGAAGAAGCAAAGGGTCATACTCTGTGTCCCTGTGTAAACCGGATTCCACCTGGACTAAGTATAAACGTCAAGGTCTGGCCCGCAGGCAAGTAACATACAGGATTTGGCATCTGAATTCTAGAAACTAGAAACAGATTAGTAAAATATAATTGTGACTATTATAGTCTAGCTGCCACTGGAGATGATCAGATTTAAATCTAGGCCGGTCACTGTAAGCCACCTCAAGCTTCTATCTTCCTTTGTTCAGGTTGATTCAGTTTCCTCCTCCACCACTAAAAGGAGGAATAACTGTTACCATGGAGGACCTGCAGTGCCTTGACAGTGGACACTTCCTCAATGATGTAATCATTGATTTTTACCTTAAGTAAGTAACACATTTTTGAACAAAGGGCTTCAGATTTCCTTTGATTTCTCATGGGTTTGTGGAGAAGAGATCCATTATTGAACTGAAAGTGTTTTTGAACCAGATACCTTCTCCAGAACACCTCTGCTGCTGTGGCTGAGCGCTGCCACATCTTCAGCAGCTTCTTCTACAAGCAGCTGACACGGAGGGACAACGCCAGCGAAGGAGCCACCAGTGACTCGTAAGTACCACCGGCAAAGTTTGTGTGTGCTACCTCAAGGAAACAGCCTTGCACTGACAATAGTTCTTGACTTCTTCCACCTGGTTGATGTTTATATATCACCAGAGTTAACTGCCAGGAATCAAAATGGTAAATGGTCTTATACTTGTAGAGCATACTTCATGCATTGCAGAACACTCAGCGCACTTTTAAACCATTTACCCATTCACCCATTCACACTCACAAACACTGCACTTTTAAACCATTTGCCCATTCACCCATTCACACTCACAAACACAACTCACACACCACTGATATCACCGGGAACAACTCGGGGTTAACACACTCACACACCGCTGATATCACCGGGAACAACTCGGGGTTCAGCGTCTTGCTCGAGGACATGTGGACCGGAGAAGCCAAAAATTGAACTGCCAACCTTCCAGTTAGGAGACGAATCGCTCTACCTCCCAAGCTGCCCAAGTCTATCCAACTTTATAGAGATTCCAAAGTCACTTGAGTGCTGTGTGATGTTTAGCTGTGACCAAACTGACATGTTTTCCCCTCGCGGTTTACTGTAGCTGCAAATTTTGATACACGTGGAAGTGAAATCAACACAGTTATTAAAATAAAGTCAAATGTTCTACGATTTCACAAGCTGTCAGCTTAGTGCAGCTTTCAATATATTAGTTTGAATAATGATGCGTAAATTGCTTTGCTTTTACTCTGCATTTGTGTCTCTGTGCTCATGGTGCAAAATGCCTAATATTCAAACCCCCAAATGTTTGTACACTGTATAAACAAGAGCAGCAACTTCCTGGGGCTACTCTACCATCTAACACATATTTGTGTGTACTGGGGTCTTAGGACATGAAAAACACTATAAACACTTGTGTCCCTGTTTTTATTTTTGTGTGCACCCAGCTGTCAGAGGCAGAGGCGGCACCAAAGGGTAAAGACGTGGACACGCCATGTGGACATCTTCAACAAGGACTTCCTTTTTGTACCTGTAAATCAGGAGTGAGTTAAATGAAGAAGTGTATTCTATTTAAACCTATATATATCTCATATATACAGTATGTAAATATGTGTGTGTGTGTGTGTGTATGTATGTATATATATATATATGATGATTTTAGCATATGGCTGCAATATAACAGAGTGAAAAATTTAAGGGGGTCTGAATACTTTCCGTACCCACTGTGTATATGTAATATATATGTATATATATAATATATATATATATGGTCACATGGTAATATGCACTGCTCAAAAAAATAAAGGGAACACAAAAATAA